TAAATCTTTTTAAAAGCCTTAAAAAATTCTAGAGAAAAATCATTGATTTACAACATTGCAAATATTTTGGGGACACAGTTTCACACCTTGTTGAATGTATGTTACTACACTATGCCTGCCCACCACCAATGCACCAATAGTCCTCTCCACCAGTCTCCAGGCCTCCCCCACCTCAGTTCTTCGGTTAGAGCCCAAGGGTTTGTTTATGTCTGTTCCTTTGCTTAGTTTCTTTATATTCCACATATGAGTGAAAGTATCCAGTATTTGTCTCTTCTTCTGCTTTATTTTGCTTAGAATAATAGCCTCCAGTGGGTTTACATTCACGATTGCCTTCTTTAGAAGACAACTGTTGTTGGAGGTAAAGGAACCCTCATACACTGCTAGTGGGAATGCAAACTGGCCCACTATGGAACGCTGTGTGGAGGTTCCTTGGAACACTAAACATGGATCTACCATATGACCCAGCGATTTTACTCCTTAAGAATCTACCCAAAGGACACAAAAACACTCATTTAAATGGAAACCTATGCTCCTATGTTTATTGCAGCACTGTTTACAATGTCAAGATATGGAAACAACCCAAATGCTCCAAAATAGATGAATGGATTAAAAGGTTGTGGCATATACAATGAAACATTACTCAGCAATCAAAAAAGATAAACTCAGGCCCTCCCTGGTGGCGCAGCGGGTTAAAGCTCAGCACTAAGAAGCTAAAGCCACTTCTTCACGAGTTCGATCCCCGCCCCGAGGCCAGCCACGTGGCGCAGCAGACCCCTCCTGTCTCCCGGCTGCTTCCCTCAGCAGTGTACTTCATCAATCTGCCTGTTGTGCTCCCCACTCTGTCTCTGGTGAATTCTCTCACCACCTCTGGCCTGTACCCCAGTTTCTGTATGCACAAATAAATAAATCTTTAAAAAAAAAAAAAGATAAACTTCCATGCCATTTACAGCAACATGGATGGAGCTAGATGGGATTATGCTAGCCAAAGTAAGTCAGAAGGAAAAAGATAAATACCAGATGGTCTCACTTATGTGTGTAATATAGGGAAACCGAACAAAAAGGTCAAGAAAAAGTCAAAACTAGCAAGCTGACCAAAGAACTAAAGCATCTATCAAAGGTAGGGGAGTGATGGGGGGGCAAAACAGGGGTGAGATGGATGAACACAAGGGAATATGGTAATGGTTCATGGGTGAGACAGTGGCAGGAGAACTACAAGAGACACAATGGTAGAAGAAAAAAATTTAATTAATTAAAAAATGAAAACATTTGCTCAAAAAAAAAAACACAACTGGTGTTTCTAAGATTTAGTAGATTCCCTTACAATATATATTTATATGTACATGTGCATATCCTAAACATTTTAACTCATTTTAATTACAACTAAATTAGTGTGACCTTAATATCCTTCAAAACATAATTTAAAAATTGTGTAACATTTGATATTATTGTGTTGAGCCACACCCTTATTATCAGGAGCTTAATTTTTTTTAATTACAAAGAATGTAATGAAGATACATATTGTGAGAATTTCCTATTTACTCACAATAAGATCCTGCAAGTGGAATTACTGGATTAAGAAGTGTATTATCAAAACCTGCTGTATACTATCAATTTACCTTCCTAAAAGACTATACCATAAGTAGTTATATGTGGATACCTATTGTTTTTATTTGTTTTGAGTTTAAAGGCTTTTGAGATGGTTATAACTAGAAATCAATTAGCATTATATTAAATGTTTGGTTTTATTCCCTTGTAAGGCTAGCATTGTTTGTTTTAACAAGTTTCACATACACTACCCTCAACATTTACTATGAAAAATTTCAAACATACAGAAAGGTTGAAAGAATGCTACAGTGAATGCATCTATAACACACTGCCATAATTCTAGAGTTAAAATTCTGCTGGATGTGCTTTGACATGTATTTTTTATTCTTTCTCCCTCCGTCCTTCCCTCAACCTCAGAAGACTTACTTCGTTTATTAGTGTCTGCAAGTTTTTTAACGTATTTCAGTTTTTCCAATAACTCCCTATGTAGATGCCTGACATTTGTCTTTGTCGTGCTGACTCAGTTTACTGCACAAAATTCCCTTGAACTCCTTCCACCTTGCTGTAAGTGGCAACATTTCTTCTTTCCTTGTATTATTCCATTGTGTAGATTTACTTTTTAAAAATTTTTAATTTATTTTTGCATAGAAGAACTGGCGTACAGGCCAGAGATGGAGGTGGGGGGCAGAGTGGAGAACAGAATAGGTGGATTTACTGAAATACACTGCTGAGGGGGGCAGCTAGGGAGATAGGAGAGGTCTGCGGCACCAAATGCAGGTAAGCGTCATGGCCAGCATGGAACTCTGGCCATAGAGATAACGCTGACTTAACCCCCAGGCCACCAGGGAGGGCTCCATGTTTCTCCTTAATCCAATCCTCTGTCAGTGGACAGTAGGTTTCCATATCCTATTATATAACTGAAACTTCCTTTTTATCTACTTTTAAAAGACTTTTATTTGAACTGGGGTGCAAGCCAGAGGTGTATGGGGAGGTGAGAGGATTCACCAGAGTCAGAATGGGGAGCAGAACTGGCAGATCTACTGAAATCCACTGCTGATGGGAGCAGCGGGTAAACAGGAGAGGTCTGCTGCGTCACACGGGTCAGCTCCCTGGCCAGGGATGGACCTCATGCGCAGTGGCTGTGGATATCTTCACAGTCCTGAGACTTAATCTCTGCGGCACCAGGGAGGCCCCCACATATGATTTCCAATGATGCACATCGGAAACTTACACAATGTTGTAAAGCATACGTCGACTGGAAAAAATAACCTTGCGATGCAAGGTCTTGTTTTTGTAATATCCGCAGGCTCGGAGCGCAATGGGCTGCGACATCCCCTGTAAATGAAAAGCGCCAATGTGGTCATCTACCAGAACTCCCAAGCTCCTGAAGGACTCAGCACAGAGGCTGGGAGGAGGGCTCTGGCCTCCCTGGGTAAGGATTAAACGTGAAAACTGCAGAAAGCACTTCCTACCGATAATTACAAGTTATGATTCTTTCACTTCCTCCAGCCTCAGATAAAACTCCAAGCCCAAGCTCTGGAGCCCATGTCAGGGTCATACCCCGAGCAATGGCAAACTGGGGAAGGGTGGCCAGGGAGCTACTGACCTGCGGCCGCCCGCGACAGCCGGGCCCAGCCAGCCTCCGCGGAGCCGTCCGGCCGCGGCGGGGGCCCCCCGGCGGCGCGGTCCGCCTCTGCGTCCCGCAGGCAGAGTGAGAGACTGCGAGGCCCACTTGGCGCGCTACCCGCAACATCCCAGTGAGTGCTCACAAAAGCTTAAGGTAAGCAGCACCACAGTCTAGGAAGCCTGAGTCACGGGCGCAGGTCCGCGCAGAAGGAAGTGAACTGCCTCCGGGAAGTGACTCCAACTGCCCCAACTTCCAAACTCTCTCCGGCCGCCCAGGGCCCGTCGGTACCAAACGAGGGCGCCCGCCTTCGCGCACGCGCGGTTTACGCCGTCGCGTCCCCTTTAAGAGGACACCTTTTGCCTCCTCCGACCCCAGCGCTTCCGCTCCGCGTTCCCACAATGCAGTGCGGCTGAGCGCCTCCGAACCCGCCGGGACGCTGCGGGGGGACCCGGGCTGAAGCGGCGGCGGCGGCGACGTGGGCTGCGGCAGGCCCGCGGCGAGGGGCGGTGCGGATGTCGGGCTGGGCGGACGAACGCGGCGGCGAGGGCGACGGGCGCATCTACGTGGGGAACCTTCCGACCGACGTGCGCGAGAAGGACCTGGAGGACCTGTTCTACAAGTACGGCCGCATCCGCGAGATCGCGCTGAAGAACCGGCACGGCCTCGTGCCCTTCGCTTTCGTGCGCTTCGAGGACCCCCGGTGAGGCCCCCTGCGATCGCCCGCGGAGGCCCGAGGCCAGGGCCCCCGCCCGGCCTCCCCTCCCGTATCCCCCCGCCTCTCGGGTGCCCCTCCCCTCCCCACCCCTTCGGCGCAGACCCCCTCGCGGCGCCCCCGGGTGGAAGTTGGAGCTTCCTCACCGCAGGCTTTGGGCCGTCCTCTGCTCCGTCGTCACTTCCTCTGCTACTATCTTATTATTTTACTAAGAAATACAAAAGGTGGGCCTTTTGGAGACTGAGGCCCACCCCAGACGGGCCTCAGGAGTGGTACGAATGACCCTTCTCTCCCTCGCGGCAGGGGAGGCAGCTAAAGGGGCAGCAGCCCAGGGCTTGGGAACCCTGGCCCCGGAACCAGCGCGGGAGCGCCCCGGGGGAAGAGCAGAAGTAGTCGCTCGCCCGCACCGCTCCCCTCCCCCCCGGCCGGAACTAGCCATTTGCGGGGAGCTGACCGGGATGTGGAAGCCTTAGGAGATCGGAAAGCGTCTCTGTGAAGGAACCGACCAGCCTCCTCTTGCACTTCACTCTATGAGGCCGGGGCCTGGCTTTTTAAAAGCATCAGGGACTTGGAAAAACTTCTAAAACTGCCCGAGGGGGATCAGTGATTTCATTCCCCACTGCTAAAGAGGGGAGCACCATTAGATGCTAAAGGCCCAAGGATTTGGAAACTCTGGAGCCCTAAACCGGCTCAAAGGAGTCAGCGGTGTTTGCAACCATTGCTGGCTCTCTGGCCAGAAAAAAGCCTAGGAATTTTCAAAACTGTGGCTGGTGATTTTTAGAAGTCAGGTGTCTGTTCATGTAGGAGGACCAGTGAGGAGCAAGCTCTGAGCCTGTGGGTGGCCCTCATAGCCAGTGACATTGGCAGAAGGTGAAGATTTCCAGAATCTATAACCTGACTGCCTGAAAGGGGGGGAGGGTGGTGTTGCTGAGAACTGGGGGCTGATCAGCATAGACAAGTGGACTTTAAAAAGACTGGCTTTGGCTTGCACCCTGGTCTTTGCTTACCTGTATCGTGCTGCCGTGTGCCAGACAATAAATTTTCTTAACTTTCTGTATCAGCTCTCCCTTTTCTCACTCCTGATGTAAACCTGCTTTGGGGTCTTATCCTATGATTTTGGAGTTGGGGGTGGGGGAGTTGTGAGATGGGGTAAGGATTCATGAACTGGGTCATCCCCTTTCATTCACAGGGTAAATAAAACGTCTAGTAGTCACTTAACTTGGGGCAAACAAGTGCTGTTTTCCAGCATAGTCTCAGGGAACTCCTTAACTAGTCAGCCTCTGCTGCCTGGAGACTGTCTTGCTAGGGAGAAAGGAGGGACCTGATGGTTGAAGATTCTGACAGCTCACTCCCAGTGTCTTGTTTGCCTGAAAAGTGAAACTAGGCATTTTTACATCTAAACTGGGGGTTGCACCTTTGTTAATTAGTAACAGTTCTGGTGTGGTTTTTTTTTAATAGTTACTATTTGTTAAGTAAACATACACTGTGGTATTTAGCATTTTCAGTAAGCGCATTTTGCAGGTGAGGAATATGAGGTTTTAGAGTTGATGATAAAAGAGGGTTAGTAAGGGATCAAGGTAGGATTTGAACCTCATTCTTCTGTTTAGAATACAGACTTACTGCATGGCATGCTACATTGTCATAGCTTTCTTCATTTCTTTCACAATACAAAAACTGTCCTTTCATATCAGCAGAGGCTAAGTTTCAAAGCACTGAATACATAGTATCTTATTTAACCCTACAATAACCCTGGAAAAGAGACATATTACATTTAAAGATGTAAAAACCTGAATATAGTTTCCCAGAGACAGCTACTAATAGACAGGTAGTAGAATGATTTGAACTCAGGTCACTTTGCATTCAGAATCTACTTCTAATCCCTAATAGTTCTGCCTTATCTTTTTTTTTTGCATAGAAGAATTGGGGTGTGGTCCAAAAGTTGGGGTGGGTGGTGCAGAACAGGGGGATTTACTGAAATACACTGCTAAGGGGAGCAGTGGGCCATACAGAAGTCTTTTCTTTGTCATATGTGGGTTAGCTCCCTGGCTGGGGGTTGAATTTAGGCCTTCCTAAATTCAACTATCACTGATTAAATTAGCTCTATCACTGATAGAGCTAGGATTTAACCTGTATTTCACCAGGGAGGCCCAGCCTTTTCCCAGCTGCACTATAAATATAGCCAGGGTTGCACTGAATGGTGCTGAAAATTTTTAATCCCATGATTACAATCTTTTTATACAATCTTGATAAGTGAGTATGTCACAACTGTATGGCTCTAAGGGTATGGCTTTTGGATGTACTTTGGAATTGCGCTTGCTAGAAAGACATTCCAGGAATCAGATCTGAACTTAACTTAGCCTTGAATCCTGAAAAATTCCAGATTTTGTAGTAGTTTTGGAATTGTGTACATCATTAGCACTGTCTGTCTACCCAAATTCTGAGGATGTGCTTTCTCTTATCCATTACTGGAGAACAAACTCTTTTAGAACACTAGTAAAGACAAACTATTGAACATTTGCAAATCTCTTTGGTGAAATGTTAGTGGCTTTTTCTTTCTATAGACTTGGGGGACTAAATCTTGTGGAAGAGTATTAAAGGACTAGTGTATGGTGTATGCATGTTGAGAAAATGTTTCACAAGGTTAGAACACTTTCATTGGCAAAAGTAACAGTTTGTCAATAATGTGTCTTTTTCTGAATTAGTCCTATAATGTGTATATGTTATAATAGACAGTTTGTCATTACAGTCCTAGAAAATCCAGTGTATGACAGTTGTAAAGTTTAATTCAAATAATGACCAGTACCCTTCCATTAACAAACCAAAGCAGAAGTGCACCAAAGTCCTGTTTTTATTTCTCTCTAGATTTCCTACTTACTTCTCATGCCTCTCACTGGGAAGTGAGTCAGTCTCATTGAGCAACACTAACTTCATACTTTTCTTACAGAGATGCTGAAGATGCAATTTATGGAAGGAATGGTTATGATTATGGCCAGTGTCGGCTTCGTGTGGAGTTCCCTAGGACTTATGGAAGTCGGGGTGGGTGGCCCCGTGGTGGGAGGAATGGGCCTCCTACAAGAAGATCTGATTTCCGAGTTCTTGTTTCAGGTATGTTCTTTTCAAAGTGAATTGGATGAAGCATCTGAAATACTTAGCACAGAGTTTGTTTTTCAAGAAGTGTTGTTACTCTTCAGTGTATGAGATAGGTAGGACTTCCTTTTCAGTAGCCTAAACACAGTGACAGTCTGAAAGCCCTGCCCTGTCTTGTCAGTGAGGCAGGTGTTTTGCAAGTGAAATTGCACTGGTAATGCAGCCTCAGAAATGTTGAAAGAGAAAATGTTGGCAAGATCCCTTGACCTGGAGTTCTAACAATGTTTTCTTTTGGAATGTACACTGGGATTGGACTTGATAGACAGACATTACAGGAATGAGATTTGAACTTAACCTACTTAGTCTTGCATCCTGAAAAAGGTCAGATTTTTATGGGGGTTTGGAATTATGCAAAAAAGAAAACAACTTGGGAGTCTTATGGATTATATTACAAAGTAGGGAATGAAATGTCTAGTGTTGACAAATAATACAAAATGCTAAGCTCAGGGGTTTGTGCTTCTTTTCAAAATATGAATACACTGGTAAATAAGTAAGGCCTTCTGCATATGGCAGGAGCCCTGGCGGTACAAAATACATTGAGAAACCCAGCCTCGTCTTTGATGTAAATGTTACACAATCACAGCAGACTCCCACAGTGCTTAAGTGTGATACTCTCTAAGTATCTTCCTATCTGTGTCCCTTTGTAATTTAACCCCAGAACTCTTCCCTCCTTCAGGATGTCATAAATATCTTTTTTTCTCTCCATGCTGCTCTGAAATCCTGCTTAGAAAACTATTAGGAAATGGCTGCAATCCTGAGCTGTGAGCGGTAAACACAGCCTTTGAGAGCAGGAGCACATTTCCCTTTCATGACCTCAGGTAGGGTTGTATGACTCCCAACTAGTTTTAGCGTCTGAGCATTACCTTTTCCCCCACTGTATTGAAGAATGTTGGTGGTCTTTTAAGAGGTACTTACTTGGTTGAGTTTGTCAATCATTCACACCCACAAGAAAACAAACTTCAGATTTTTGTGTTAACCTTCAGCCACACTTTGACCATGTCATGGCTAGTTTTAAACTTTCCATATCCTGGGAACTCAGGCAAGAAATAATTGGGGGAAATGGAATGCAGAAGTCTTGGGCATTGATACTAATTATAAAGGCTATGATTTCTCAGAGATACTGTGCCTAGAGGGATGGACTTTTTACTCCATTGAAAAGGCTTGATGTCTGGAAGATTAACTTAGAATCAGCTTGTTAAGGTGCTTCACTATACACACTTTACTCTCTGGTTTTGCGCCCCTTACCAGCATTTGTGATTTGGGGTTTTAAGGTAGGGTCCTAGGTATTGCTGTCTTTTAATAGGGCAGTTGACACGGCTGAAGGATGTGGCTCCTCTTTCATGTTTTCTGTGCCCAGGACTTCCCCCATCAGGCAGCTGGCAGGACCTGAAGGATCACATGCGAGAAGCTGGGGACGTCTGTTACGCAGACGTGCAGAAAGACGGAATGGGGATGGTTGAGTATCTCAGAAAAGAAGACATGGAATACGCCCTGCGTAAACTGGATGACACCAAATTCCGCTCTCATGAGGTGGGTTCCCACCTTCTACTTATAGCTGGGCCATTCTACCTACAGCTGACCTAGTTGAAGTAGCAAAAGGCCATGTATTTGCTATCTAATGACCTTAACAGCACCACAAAGAATCTAAAGTCAACAAAAAGTCAAGGAATTCACATGTCTTAAGTCCTACAGGGTCCTAACAGAGAACAGTTTTCCTTTAGAGAATACTGGTGCAGTCTGTCATAATGTGGTGAGTTACTCTGAGGTTATCTGTCATTTCACAACTGACTTTATTTGCAGTGTCTCTCTGTGAGCCTGTTATGGCTTCCCCTTCTCTAGCTCTGCAAGCCAGCCTTGCTACTTCCGCCCTTACAAGTATTGCTACTGGGGCAGAGGTATCACTTTCACTTTTCCTTTCCCAAGGTTATATAAAATTCTCTTTGAAACCTGAGCTATGTAGCATATTCTTGTGGCTGATCACCTCACTCTCAGGATTAATTTCTTCGTTTCAAGAAGGCACCTGCTGCTTCGGGTCTCAGTCTGACTCAAAATGTGATACCATTGAGACACCAGATACCTAATTACCAATTGGTCATTGTTTTTTATTCTGGTTAACCTGTTCTGACAGGGATGTCTGGGAACATGAATTTCTGGTCCTCACTTCCTTTTTCTTAAGATTCAATATAATTCCCTAATTTTTTGGCTTGGAGGCTGCATGATTTAACAATGCTCAAATTGTCCTCTTGGATTTGAATTTGGAACAGAAACAAAAAAGCACTTGGTCCTTAGATACACTAAAAAGCAGGGTGTCAGGGTAGATCCAGTGACAGATTATATCGGGGAAATGTGTCTGGCTACTTTCATCTTAACCACCTTTAGGTCTGAGGGTATGACCTGAGGGCAGAAGGCTGATTTGACACCTGGCCATTTTATGGCCAAGTGGCTCTGAACCCTTGTTCCTCCGTATGTAAAATGTTCACAATAATAAAGACTTCCTAGGAAACTAAGCTCTGAACATAACCAAAGCATTTAGCCCAGCTTCTGATGCCTGGGAGTTGGATACGTGATAGCTAGCTCTTTCCATAGGTGCTCCATTGTCATTCATAGATGAGGTTGCAGGGCACTGAACTATGTGACCTCTGACATCTTTTCCAATTCTTAAATTCTAGCAGTTATTTAGATATGTTAATAATAATAGCTAATATTTGAGCATTTAGCAAATATCAGGTCGCCATTTAGTATTCATTCCATTTTCTCATTCCTAAAGTGAGCTAGTAAGAATACCTACCTCACAGCTTTACAGTGAGGATTTAGCAAGATAACCTCACACTAGACAAGCAGTGAATGCTTAGTACTTAACTAGTGTCAGGAAGCCATATTAAGTGTTGGTTTACTTTATTATCCTAGATCTTATTTTTTCTTTGCTTTTTGTTTGAATTTCAGGGTGAAACTTCCTACATCCGAGTTTATCCAGAGAGAAGTACCAGCTATGGCTATTCACGGTCTCGGTCTGGGTCAAGAGGCCGCGACTCACCATACCAAAGCAGGGGTTCCCCACACTACTTCTCTCCCTTCAGGCCCTACTGAGACAGGTGATGGGAAGTTTTTCTTTTATTTTCTAGGTGAACTGAGCTGCTTTGTGCTCAAAAATCTACATTCCAGATTGATGATTTAGTGTTAGGAAATTTTTTTAATTTTTTTTTAAAAGGAAATAAAACTACGTAATTTCTACCAGGGCCATATTAGCAGTAAAATGTTTTAAACTGCAGAAATTGTGGTTTTGGTTCAGAAGCAAGTTGTATATTTTTCACCCCTGATTATGGGAAACAAATCAGTGCTGTGTCTTTGTGGGTTGCTCTGCTATGGAGATCAGCAGTTACTGTAACTGAGTAGGCCCATTCTGTTTAGAAATATATTTTAAACGTTTAGTAATTAATATGTGTGGTTGTCCTTGATTAAGTTCATAAATTTCACATAATAGGAATACTGATTCAAAAAGAAAATTGCTGAATTGTAGTGAAAGCTTGTACCCAGTTGGTTAAGAAATAGGAGTGGAAACCTTTATTTAGGGATTAAGATAATTACTGGAATGGTAGTTTGAGAATTCAACCTCAAGGGCAGGTTCAAGGTTTTTTTTTGTTTGTTTGTTTGTTTGTTTGTTTTTTAAATAACTGAAGGTCAAGCTTATAAATTAAGCTGCCTTAAAATATTGCCAGATAGGTGGATGGAAACATTTTTAACAGCATAAATGGATGGAAAGATTTTTAACAGCACAAAATCACTGGGAAATTCTTAGCAAAACCCAGCTTTAGCAGTTTGGTTAGAAAAAAAAAATCTCTTAGGTTCTGATACTGTCACATTTATCCCTAAATCATTTATCCTTGGCATTTGAACTTTTTAAAACAAAACAAGCTCCAAAACCTCACTATCTTGGTTTTTTTTTTTTTTTTTTTTAAATGTATAAGAATTGGGCTGTAGGCCAGAGGTGCGAGGGTGAGAAAATTCACCAGAGACAGAGTGGGGAGCAGAACAAGTAGACCTACTGAAATACATTGCTGAGGGGGCAGTGAGTGAGACAGGAGAGATCTGCATCACATGTGGCTCAGCTCCATGTCTGCAGCAGTGATAGCTCTGACACTTAACCCCTAAGCCACCGAAGGCCCCAACTTCACTATGTTGGATTCTGCTCAATTCAGTAATCACTGTGGGGAAAGGGATGCTGCTCTCACCAGATAAAATGCTGTACTTCTTTAATGTGTACAACTTGGTGAGTGTAGGGTGAAGTATGTACACGTCTGTGAAATCACTACCATTAAGACCATAAACACATCCACTGTATATCACCTTCCAAGGTTTCCTCCCATCTCCCTTTATTTTATCCACATGGTAAAAACATTTAACATAGTCTCTGCTCTTTTAGGAAATACTAATTAACTGATACAATACTGTTAGCTTTCCAAAGGCTTTTTTTTTTTTTTTTTGTGATTTCTTTTCAGAAATAAACTAGAACCCAGCTAGTATGTCATTTTGTGCATTGCAAATGGTTCTGGGTTAGGAATTCCCAAGTTCCCCAGACCTGAGCAGAAAAGTAACCCCATCTTCTGGGAATAACAGCACTTAGGAACAAATTCAAGTGTTTCTTAAAGATAAAAGACTGCTCAGGTTGGCAGAATAGCTACTAAAACTTCACTTACATGCAGTTTGAGTCTTTCTGGAAGGAAATAAAGGGCAAATGTCTTATCATCCCAAGCAGCCTGTAAGTATCTGATGCATCCTTAAAAACTAACAATGTCTTTTACTTCCATTAGCACTCAGGAACTTTTATTGCCTTGTTTTGGCTAGACCTTACCCAATTTTGTCTTTAGAAGATTTAGTTTCTAGAAAACACTAACCATCAGGTTTTTTTTAGGTGACTGAAGGAAGCAGGAAAATTATTGTTCACAGTGACTACTGATGTAACACTTCCACGCATTCACAGGGCACCCTTCTCTGGGAGAGGTGCTGAGCCATGCAAGGAGGGCTCTTGTTCATCCACCCTTGGCAAAGAGATATTACCTGTTTGAAAACAGTAACAAAAGGAATGTTATAATTGAACCTGCTCCTCAACTGGCTCTACTGAGCTAATATCACTTGTTCTGTTGTGAAAATAAATATAGCTACTATTGTGTTTTGCTAATGATGAGTATCTGAAAGAACTACATTTGTCAGTGAAGACAGATTAATGCACATTTTTCAGTAAGGGGCAGGTAGGTTAATTAGCCACTTACATGCACATAAGAGTGATAGAAAGAGTTGACTATTTATTCACTTTGTTCCAAGAAGCAAATTCATAGTATCACATAGTATGTGATAAATACATTATGGCCCCTGAAACAGCATCATCAAGCTCTGAGCTAGGTTCTAAACCTTAGTTCTCTCCATATTTAATTAAGGTGGTTTCATGAATCCAGAGACTTTCCAAGAGTTGAGCGTGAATCTTATTTGTTATCCCATTCTTGCTTCAAGCAAAGCTTTCTTCTTACTGGTTGGTCCTAATGAAATAAGTAACTTGAGCTGCAAAGCTGATGTCTGTCTTTGAAGGCTGCTCAGGATGGTTCTGAGGGGATTTCCTAAGGTTGAAGTTGGTGTTTGGAAAACTGGGGTGCATGGGCTAGTCTGTCTTGCTGCCATTGTACAGTGGCAGGCAGCAGCTCTGAGGACCCACCCATTCTCTTCAGAGGAGACAAAAACAGCTTAGCCTACTCATCATCCTGAATTTCATTACTGGCTCAGAGGTATTTAAAGCTTCTATTTAAAATACAAGTGAGATTTTAAGATGCACATCTCCAGACCAACGGGTTACAAACTAATAGATGGCTCACGGGATGTATCTGGCTTGTGTTTCATTTGCATGGTGAGGTTTTTAAGTTTGAATTAGTCGCCAGTATTTCAGTTTGGAAAGTATCACACAACATGGCAGATGTCCTTGTTCTCGCAGAACAGGCTCACATTCCTGAATAAGCAGCAAATGCCAGTTGCCCCTTCAGGCAGGTTTACCCCAGGCACACCCCTCTACACACCCCTCTCTACCACAGTCTTGTTTTGCTCATTCCTTTACCAGCTGGCCCTTGGAAGTGAATCATATTTTTAAGTTGAAGATGTGCCACGTGTCCCTAGAACTTACTGACCTTGTAACTGGCAGTTTGTACCTCTTGACCTTTACCCATGTCCCACTTCATACGGTTGAGAGTGCTTTCACATGGCACCTCACGGCTCCTCCTTTATTCTTAGTTATTCTATTAAACTACTTTAGGCAACACATACCTGGAGGGGCCACAAAATATTCCTCCACAACTCGATGGGAGTTTTGTAGTAGTTCTTCTGCACAGTTGCCTTCTACCACATTGTCAGATCTCAGGTACAGGCATCTAAAAAAACAAATTCTCAGGGTTACCTTCTCTGAGGCCTAGGAACATATTCTTGAGTCATTGCTCAAGAGATGGAGGAACTATGGCCAAAAGAAGTCTGCAGTTTTATAGATTCAGCGAGCCAGTGAGGTAAGTGGTAATTATTCCTCAGGATTATACTATTTAATAAATACTTTTTGATGGATTACTATGGTTAAGTTGCTTTTGATTGAGAGATAGGAAAGCAGTTATAATATGTTAAATCTAAGTCAGGATGAGGAGTATTCAGAATAGGTGATGTTACTGCCAATGGCAGGAAACAGTTGGATTGGGGGATGGGAAATGAAGTTCCTGGCAGGTGTAGAAACTTGCTCAAGGATGTTACGTGGCTTAAGAACATTAGTTCTTAAATGATAAAGAACTGGGAACTGAGCCCAGTTCATAGTATCCTGAAGATGAGTACTTTTCTTCACCATCACCTTTATGCACCTAAAATTTCCCCTTATAAGAAGTACCACAAACATAGGTCAAGAAATCCCATTATTCTCTGGGCCTATTTTTTTCATTAAAGTATTCAGATGACACAATTAGTTGAACATATCTATGAGGCTTCACTCCTGTTGGAAGGTTCAGAGTGTGTGACATTTCTAACACTGCTTCCAGATACTTGCACTGAAAAATGAGCTGCCTGCTCAGTCACTGAGAGTGGTGCTACTGAGCTCTTTCTCCTTTAAGCCAGAGCGACTGAGAGCTGAACCTCATATGACAAAGGGCTAAATACTAGAACAAGGCAAAGGCTACATCGAAGGCCAATTTTAGGAAAAGATTTTCCTACATTAGTTTTGTGGTACCCAGCCCCAGGCTAGCCACAGTAAACAGCTATTTATTGTTCAAGAAGGAGAGATCTGGCTTTTTTTTTTTTTGAACCGCGTCCTTAAGCAAATATGTATTTCCAGACCTTAAGTGTTTTGCCCAGAGAATGATTTTTTTAGCCATACAAGTGTTAGGCACTCATTTAAGAAAACTTGGAGAAAAAAATAAAGTCATTCATAAAGGTGATCACTGGATTCTGGAGTTTATATATTTGTTGGGCAGTGTAACAAAACGGCTAAGCGCTTGGGCTAACTGAATTACACTGAATTCTAAACTCTGTGCCACACCTGGCATGTGGGTAAGTTTCTTATCCTCTTCATGGATCAGTTTCCCTAGCTGTAGAATGCTTCAGAAATTGCTGGAAAGCTTATATAAAATGCCAGAAAGGTCTGGTAGTGACAGCCCTGTCTTCTATTGACAGTAAGAAAGGGCTGCTGAATAGCACTAGCTCTTTTTGGAAAGAGTTAGTACACCCCAGTACCCACCATTCACTCAGTTTATTCACTTAACCTATTGCCACCATCATGCACAACTGGCTTACACTACCATGTGGCAGTGTTCTCTGTGCCCTGGCACTAGATGGATTTTACCAATAACTGGTGGTTAAAAGCTGCTGCTTCTCAACAGTAGATCTAATAGAAATTGGTTTATTCACTCATTTGGCAATCATGTTTACCAGTAAGTGGCATTTTCAGAAAAATACCCCTTTATATACTACACATTTGTTTATGATAGTTTTTTTTTTTTTCTAGAATAAATGCAAACCTATTTTCTTAATAAGTTACCGAACACAGGGTCTCTCTGAGGGTGGCCTACAAGGTAGATCCCTTAACTTACCAAGTCACTTAATTTTTTTTTTCCTTTTCTTAATTTTTCTCAACCTCAGAATCAATGTCTGAAACACTGAACAGGCCCAGTTCAGCTCTTTAGGTGCCTGTCAATTGCTTCATCTTGTCTTTCTCAGAGAGATATCTGTAAGAGAACTTAGTTCCAAAACCATAGGATACACCCACTTTGATACTAAGTTAACATTTATGCATCCAGGCTAATGTTAATTCTTGGTGATACTACTACTACCCTTGAGAGAACTGAAAATGGTCACTTGAAATTATGTTCTAATTCAGTTGAAAAAGGTGGTGGAGAAAGTTAAGCTAAAGTAATCCCTACCTTCTAAAGCTAGGCATATGGCATTTAAGCCAGAAACTGAAAATGTTAATACAAAGCCTTTAATGACACTGTGACAGCATAGAGGACAAAGAAGTGCCTCCGTGGGTCCTTGGCCTGACCAGTCGGACAATCCTGTCTCTTCCCTTGGCTTTAGGCTGCCCAGAGTAACTTCTCAGGGCACCATTATACTTCTTCCTATAAGTCTTTTCCCTCCCTCCTTATTTACTTCCAGTTTGATGCAGACTAGAGTAAGAGCTCATCAACTTGACTAAGTGGTTAAGATGTGTTTCTGAAGGACATCCTAAGCATCAGAGTATTGACTGCAATCAGACATTTCATCCGAGTCTGTCTGAATCTGAGATGAAAAAATAATCCAGTTTCTAGGGGTCGACTTTAGATGGTATATTTAAAAGTATTTGAGAAAAGCGTTGAACTCCAAATACCAAATTGTTATTACCTGTGAAACCTTGGATCAAGTTATATAACTTTTAAAGTGGTATGTGACAACTGAGGTAATACATAGAAATTCTTAATACCTGTCACATAAGCACACTAAATGTCTCCCCCCTTTAATTTCAAACCAAATGGTGCATTAGTAATGTGCCATGAGAGTCCCATTAGGGCTTTTACAGCTAGTATAGCTACCACCTAAAGCCATCTACTACTTGTCTTTACTAGGTGGGACATTCAGAATGTCTTAAGTTATACAAGTGTCACATTTCTAAAATCATTAATAAAATTTAAGGAAAGATTGTGCATCACTGAATACCAGTTCCCAGCTGCTAAATAAATCCAAACCCTCTTCATCTTTTTTCATAATCTAGTCCCTTAGAAATAGTTGCATTTCTTTATATTACCTTCTAGGTGACTTAGGAAATTATTTTTTTAAAGATTTATTTACTTATGCACACAAAAACGAGTACAGGTCAGAGTGGGGGGTGGGGTGAGAAGATTCACCAGAGACAGAGTGGGGAGCAGAACAGGCAGATGTACTGAAATACGCTGCTGAGGGGAGCAACAGGCAGATCAGGAGAGGTCTGCCACACCAGCCCTGTGGGTCACATCCTTGGCCAGGGATTGAACTCATGCTGCAGTAGTGCAGATAGCTTCATAGTGCTGTGCTTGTGCTCTAATCCACTGTACCACCAGGGAGGGCCCAGGCTGAGAAATTCTTCCCCCTCTTTATGTTTCTAATCCCTCCTTTCCCAAAGTGTCTGCTAAATTGGGTACTGAGAACATAAAAGAAGACACCTGGGACATGAATGAATGGAGAGGGGTGGGCAGGGGCTAAGTTAAAGGATGCCCTGTAGAGTATCCTGAAGCTTTTTATAGCCCTGGGAGCCTCCTGAATGGGTTGGGTAGGAGAATGACAGCAGATTTCTACTTTGTAACAGCACTGTAGTTGGAGAATTGGTTAGTCTCTCCAGACCTGAACATAAGATTATAAAAAGGACTTGAAGTCATAAAAAGACAGGTAATGGCGGCTAATCTTTCTTGTTTCAACAAGGGCTAGTTTACTTTAAAAAAAAAAAAATCACCAAAAGAGTAGGGCAGCTGTAGGTTGTTCCTATGTTTTTGAATAACTGATCCTTAAGAAGCTACAGTCCCAAAAAAATAAGCCTGCTTTTCAAAAAAGCATTTTCTTTACAAAAGTATTAAGGTTTAGCAACAACTGGTGGGTAGGGGCTTACCCCTTGTAGTATTCCCAAGGTAATTTATTCAAAGTTCTCCCATTCCTGTTGTCCTACACTACACTGCAGCAGGTTCCTTCCTTATTGTTGATGAGAAAAGAAGCTCACTGGCTGGTGTAGAGGGAAATAACATTTGATTTTCATTGTTCTTAAAATCAAGTTTCCAAGAACCTACTGACAAAGTTAGCGACTTACTGTACCTGTATTTTACACTTCCCCCTTAGGTATTTGTGTTTTTGGTCCTTGGTATAAATTAAAAACTTAAAAATCTCCCTCTGCAATCCCCTCCCATTTTTCTTTAAAACTAGCAACTGGCCCTTCCAGAGATGAGCTGAGATCTGCAAAGGAAGCAGGCCATTCCAGAAAAAGTGAATGGCAAGTGCAAAGATCCTAGAGAAAACGAATTTGGTGTGCTGGAGAAACGTTATGGAAGCCAATGTGGCTGGAGTATGTGCCAGAGAGTGGCAGGGACTCTAAAGTGGGTCCCCTGAGGCGATAATAAGGTGTTCGGATTTTGTTCCTGTTTCCTCTGAGAGGCTTCAAGAATTTCAAACGAGAGTACTAGGTTTCATAATGACAAGGGGCGACCCTACATAAATTCCTGCGTCTCGCTAAGGCTTTGTCCCTTCGGTGACAAGGGGCCACTTTTCACCGCCTTAAATGTCTGCAAAGGTGGCAGGCGGGGGACGCTGCCAAGCTCACCTGTCCTCCAGCACTGACTCCATGGGCTCCACCCCATCTGTGTCCACGGCGCCGAGCCGGTCGGCAAAGGCGATGGCTTTCTCCAGCCGCGCCACGGCCTCCTGGCTGCCGAAGTCCACGAGCGCCAGACGCTCCAGGTGCTCGATCAGCTCGGACGAGACGCGGCCACTTCCCGAAGGGCGCTGGGAAGAGAAGGAGGCAGAGCGCATGGGTCACAGATGGGGCCTGGCCGCCGACCTCCCTAGCCGCCCGCGGGCGTGTGGGCTCACCTGAGTCGCCGCGGAAGCGAAGCCCTGAAGCCCGCCTATCCGGGCCTGAAGACCTAGCTGCACAGCCCGCGCGGCTAGCGCCCACATCGCTCGTTTCCTCGGCACCCGTAGCCGCCCCTGACGTCAAACCGGGCGACGCGCCTAACAGTGATGTCATCAGGGTGAGCCGCCGCTGCCGCCATGAACAGCGTCGGGGAGGCCTGCACTGACATGAAGCGCGAGTACGACCAGTGCTTCAATCGCTGGTTTGCCGAGAAGTTCTTGAAGGGAGACGGCTCCGGGGACCCGTGCACCGACCTCTTCAAGCGCTACCAACAGTGTGTTCAGGTGAGCTGCCTCCCGAGCTCTCGCCTCCACCCCAAGCCCCGCGTTCTCTGCCGTGGCCCCAGCTCGCGCTTGTACCTGCCGGGCATTGGAACCGGAGGACAAAGAAAGCCAGTGGCAGCTCTCCCTGCTGCCATGACCTCTAGGCAGCCTGGGAAGCTCTGAACCACAAGTTCAGTATTTTTGCAGTGCATTACTTTTCATGGAGCATAGTAACCTTTGGCGCTCCTCTTAAACTTGCTAAGTGGGCGTAGTTACTGGTATTTTGTACATGGAACGTTCACGCCCAGAAAGCGGAAGTGATTAGTTTAAATTCACTGGAATCAAGTTTTTGTGTAGTGCACTTTTCCACTATTATAATATTATTGGGTGGGGGAGGTAGAGGCCGAGTTGGCCTTTTGACTTAAGATCTTTTCATTGCAATTCCTTCATTGGACTCAGCTAGGACATTTTCATCACAGCCGGATAAATATGGAACTACTTTGAATCTTAAGAACAGCACTGTGAGTGGGCAAGGTATTTTCAGTTAATTAGTTAAGATCCTGGGGTAATCCTTCGTGGAGTTGCTTAGCCAAGTATCTGAATAAAATGTAGATAATCTTTGGATCATGCTGATAAAGAACCTTACTGGTCAGAAGTGAGGCTTGCTGAAGGTCACAGACAGTAAGCACAGGATTCCAGGTTGGAACTTTGGTGTCTTTCAATACAGAGGTGATAGTGTCAAATTTCACTTATAAATTTTAGTGATTTGCTTACCCCTTTCTAGTCTCTCTGCTCTTAGGGCTTTTGATCCTGAAGCTTCATGGTGATTTTTATGTTTTCTACCATCAGAAAGCAATAAAGGAGAAGGAGATTCCCATCGAAGGACTGGAGTTCATGGGCCATGGCAAAGAAAAACCTGAAAGTTCTTCTTGACAGTCATCTCGGAAAAGGACTCCTCAAGTCATAAAATTGAGGAACCATGGATTTTGTCAGTTAAGACTGTGAAGATAGTCATCCATTTGATGAGGAGCTTAGGAGGGAGAATTTTTGTTTCCTCCTGTTTTCCTCTCTGCTTTGAGATGAGTTCTCACTGGTTCTGGCATCTTACAGGAATTCCATGTGCTAAAACTGAATGACTTACTATTATGGTTCCAATAGTTGGGTCTGAAAAGAATCAGCTTTAATTATACCTTGTATGTAAATAATGGTAAACTTGTTGCCTAACCTCTTGAGTTAATGCTGCAAAAGGACATTAGGTACAACTGTACTTGGGTCATTGTTTTTGGGAGCAATGGTTAGGACATCTCTTTTTTTCTCAGGGAGTTAATGGTCTGAAAAGGATCCCCTAGCACAACAGTTTCGTTCAATGCTTGGGAACAATTTTGCTTTTTATGGTTAAGATTGCTGGTGGACTGGGTTAGCCAAGTGATGATAACTTTCAATAGTTAACCACCTTCTCAGATTCACATTCAAAACTGAAGAATTTTGCAATGAAAACCATTTCAGAGCTCAGTGTACCCCAGAAATTAAGATCCTTGGAAGCTCTATGGAAGACCCTAAATTTGCTGTTGCCAGCTCTCAACCCAAGTCAATGAATTACATCAACCCACATATCATAAAAATGTTGAAATGCTGCATCTGGCTAAAATGAGGGGTTGGGGTAGGAAAAGTTATGCTTTATTTTCATTGTTTACCCACCCTGCCATGTCTGTAATCATGGAGACAGAATAAATCGTAATATTTGGTGTCTACCCTTATTTACCCTTGGAACTTAAGTGTACTTATTTATGTAGCAACTATTACCATGTACAGATCCCATATATATTGGGGAGAATTTTATTAATTAGAAATTGCTTTGATCTCCCATCCTTTGTTTTCATATGCCTACAAAAATATTTTCTAAAATGTCTATGTAACAACACAAATGCCAGGAAAATGTCCCAGCAATTGCTTGAGTAACCTTGTTCAATCTGTTACATGCCTTAAAGACTGGGCTGAGAGATGATCCTGAGGTGAGAACTTAATACTCTTGGAGAAAATTATCTGACTATAAGCTCATAATCTGCAACAAACACTGTTGGAATGAGTTGGGAAGACACTAATACACAGGAAATAAGTGCTACCTTGAGAAGCACAGGAACCCCTATATGTGAACTGTAGTCACTAACGTCCTTGTCATTCAGAGTATGCCAGAACCAATCTTAATGACTCCCCTCATGGTCCCTTTGTTTTAGCCACCCTGGGCACAAGAAACCAAGAACCAGCCCTCCTTGGTGGTGCAAGGTGTTAAAGCATAGTACTATGATTCTATCCACAGCCACTGCAGCATGAGTTCAATCCCCAGCAAGGGGACTGACCCACCTGCTGCTCCCCTTCATGGTGTATTTCAGTAGATCTGCCTGTTCTGCTCCCCTCTCTTGGGTGAATCCTCTTACTCCCTATCAGGTACCTCTGGCATGTACCCCAGTTCCTGTATGCACAAATAAATTTTAAAGAAACCAAGAACAGGCCTATTATAATTATTTGGAAGTCTGAATTGGGCCTGAAACAGTATAAATAGCAGCAACAGACCACTGCAGAAACAGCAATAACATCAATGCTAACTTCTAAGGAAAAAATACCACCAAAGAATGCAACTCTGACCTCATGACCAAACAAGTTATTTATTTAAGCCATCTCCTGCCACAGTCGAGATGGGAGAGAAGTTTAATGGTCAGCATTTGAAACAAAGTGAGCTTAAGGTCCTGTACACTTTTCTGGTCCACGTGAAGAATAATGGTCCAAGCCAGTACTGTGGTCCCAGTGCTTAGGTAATGGTCCAGGTTCTCTTTATTCATCTTCGTAGCCGGTGGGCAGTGGATTCACATGGGCATTGTGGAATAGGGTATGATTACCATCTCCCCAGGGAAAAGGCTGTAGAGTGAAGATGATAATTAGGCAATTCCAGAAAATAATTCACAAACATACTGCCATGAACTAAAAATAGGCAGGGTATTAGGTGATAGATTATGCGTAAAGTAGGTATCAGACCTTTACCAGTGTATTTAAGCCTTCTCTTAATTAAGGGAGTTCTTGTAACTTCCATAACAGCCTTTAAAGTAGACAGTAGAAGTGCGACCCAATTTCAGCACTCACTGCTATGGGCTGAGTTCCATCCCCAGCCAAGAAGCTGACCCACACTTGGCACAGCAGAGCTCTCCTGCCTCACTCCCCTCAGCAACGTATTTCAGTAAATCTTCATGTTCTGCTCCAGACTCTGGGTCTTGGATGAATCTTCTTACTCCCCTGACCTCCCACCATGGGCTTACACCCCAGTTCTTCTATGCAAAAAAAGAAAGTAGACAGTAGGAAACACTAGTCACTCACAAGCCTCTATCTGCTTACTACTATACCCTGTGCTGTTTAAGAAAATGTAATCAATTCACTGTATCAGAATGGTAGAGGGGGGTATGTGGAAGAGGCTTATGTCAATGCAGGTTTCTGGGCTCCATCTCTGACCCATACAAATCTGAATTGGAAACTACAATCTGCCCTCAATTATTTGGCATGTGACCTTTTCAAAAACATTGCTCTGGGCTTTAGGTTGAGAAATCTTGCTGTATACTTCTAGTTTTGCTGTACAAGGGAAAGAGAGGGGCTCAAAGACTCAAAAAACTTCTAAGTCTGCGCTATGAGGCCAATCCTACCAGGGCTAAGTGAGTGGATAGTATTAAAGAACCAGAAGAGATAAAGAATACTTAGAGTAAACAATGAGGAATGGCTGGACTACACCTACAGCAATACACCAAAGATAAAGTCAACAAAACAACTAGCAGAGCTGGGAAAGAAGGAAAAGCTGTCAGTCTCTTCACTTTGCACCTAGTGTTTGCCACAAGCCCAGTCCGTCTGTCTTTGCCACCAGAACTCACAGCTCTTTCAGAACTGACTCAGAGGGTGGGATGAAACGGAGAAAAGGTGAACCGTTGGATAGTTAATTTATGACCTTGAAGAAACCAGACGTGACTCTTGAATCTGTTTCCCTTCCGTAAAACCAGATACAATTAAAATTTGTGACCGTTTAATGAAACTGTATATGCGCCCGGCATCGACGCTTGTAGAGAATGAAGGACCTGGTCCGGGCACTCAGAATGGGAGAACCGTCACTGCAAGAGACGGCCACGGCGTACCTTAGACCTGATGCGGAGATGGGGGTAGGCGATGAACTCCGGCCTCTCATGCTCTGCATGTTTCGACTTCAGGAAGACATTCAGCATGCTCACTGCCACCCCAGGGAGCGCGACGAAGTAGGTGAGAGCCTTCCACATGCGAGCTGCGCACAGAGTACGACCGTTCAGGCTGGAGTGGTGCCCGGCCCGGCCTCATCTCGTTCTCCAAGGCCTCAGGCCAAGGTCATCGTCCCGCCCCGCCTCGCAGGAGCGGGGCTGAGGTCCACCCCGCCGAACCCGGCCCCAGTACCTGAACCCTCTTCGCCGTGGGCGCCACTCGACATAGGCCGGGTCAGTCGCGGCCAGGCCCGACCCAGCAGCCTTGAAAGCCCGGACCCTGCCACCGCCGCCATCTTTGACCTGGCCCGTAGCAGCGCCGGAAGCGGAAACAGAATTGCGAATATGGGCGGGACCTACACGTCAAAAGGAGGTTCCCATTGGGCAGCGCCTAAACTCAAGGCGCTTGCGCACTACCCTCGAGCCCCGCTGCAACCCTGTCGCAATCCTCCGAGCTGCTGAGTTTGAGGACTGGTCCCGGTTTGCTACCGTCTCCACCTTGTGAGACTTAGCACCAAAAATAGTTTTGTGGAGGGCACAAGGGAGCTCGCCTTTCTCTGGAGCCCGTGGGCTGAAACGAGAGATTCCATCCGAGCACAAACTACCCTGTCTAAAAATGCAGTTCCCATCCTCCCCATCCTCTGACGTTTTCCAAATAACATTAACGTAGTCTTCGTTATTATTACTTTGTCTTCCCTACTACACTGTATAAACGTGATGCCAAGAATTTGTCACTGTAGCATTCCCAAAACCTGGGATTTTATTGCTCAACATAGATTTGATGAATGAATGAATGAAGACTCAGTGAATGAATAACATCGGGAGCCAGAAAGAACTTTGAAATTAGTGCCTGAAGATCTGGATTCTAATCCCAACTCAACATCCTCAATTTTCGGCTTCCTTAGTCACTCTAAGTTTTCTCTACTTTGAAATTCTGGGGACAAAAACGGACACCTATTATATGTTGTCTCCAGAATTATTTTCCTGCTCTCATTGCTTCCTTCCCTTTTCTTCCTTCTGTTCCTCTAAAAACAGTTTTTAAAATAAAAGTAAACACACACACACACAAAGACCCTCCCTGGTGGCGCAACGAGTTAAATAGCAGCACAACTGAAGCTAGCTAGCCTCAGTCGCTTCAGCACGAGTTCGATACCTCGCCAGGGAGTTGACCCACATGGCACAGCAGACCTCTCCTCTCTTGCCCACTGTGCCCATCAGCCGTGTATTTCACTCTATCTGCCTTTTCTGCTCCCCACTCTGTCTTTGGTGAATCCTCTCACCCCACTGCACCTCTGGTCTGTACCCCAGTTCTTGTATGCATAAATAAACAAACCTTTTAAAAATTAAAAACGCATAAAAAATGAAAGTAAACTTTTTCATCATATGCCCCTTTAAGAATATTATGAGGGCTCTCTCTGGTCAGTGGGTTAAAGCACCGCATTATGAAGCTCTCAGAAGCCACTGCAGCAGTAGTTCGATCTCCCCACCCCCCTAGGGAGCTGACCCACATGGTGTGGCAGACCTCTCCTGACATGCCTGCTGCTCCCCTCAGCAGTGTATTTCAGTCCATCTCCCTGTTCTGCTCCCCACTCTGTCTCTGGTGAATCCTGTCACCCACCACACCTCTGGCCTGTACCCCAGTTTTGTAAGCATAGTAAATAAGTCTTAAAAAAAAAAAGAAGATTATGAAAGTTATGAACTCTGTTCATTGTCTCCCTTACTCTCCCCCTCCTCCTCCCAAAATACAACTGGTCCTAGGCACATACAGTTTAGGAGACAATGTTGGGAGAAGAAAGCAACACAATGTGCAATAGGAGACCCTCTAAGAGTCCTGTGCTACAGGCTGACCACCCCCAAGAAAGGAGATAAACAGGGAATCTAGTGTGGAAGACTAGTTCACATCTCACTTCCTTTCCTTACAGCCTGAGGGACCTTGGGCAAGTTAGACAAAATAAATGCTTTAAGACCATGCAGTTTTATGAAGATAAAAATTTAAGATCTTATTACTAGGGCTTCACAATATAAATCTAGATTTTTTTCCCTGACAGTCTGGGTTCTTATGCTATGGTTGTGATCTGTCATTAAATCTCCTCAAATATAGTCAAAACTATGAGGCCCAAAAGTGGGACTTTTGCCACCTCCTTGGTGGCAAAAGAGGTTAAATCTCAGCATTATGAAGCTACTGGCAGCCACTGCAGCACAAGTTCAATCCCAGGTCAGGGAGCTGACCCACATGGTACAATAAACCTCTTTTGTCACGCCCACTGCTCCCCTAAGTGTATTTCTGTCAATCTGCTTGTTCTGCTTCCCATTGTGTCTTTGGTGAATCCTCTCACCCCATCCCTAGACCTCTAGATTATACCCCAGATCTTGTATACATAACTGCATAAGTAAATAAATAAATCTTTGTTAAAAGGAGTGGGACTGTGGAAAGGGTCCCAGTTAAATGTTGAAATCTATGCCTCTTCTCTAAAATGGAACTATTATATGCAGTT